GCATATTTCATTAAAAACGACAGACATGGTACTACGGTTAAGCTTTTTATTTAATTTTTCTTGTGTTCTAACAAGAGCTTTCTTTTCTGGACAAAGGGTGTGTAAGAACTGTCCAAATGTTTTATATTTCCGAGCGCTTTCGGCTATACTTTTAGCCATTATCAAGGATATTTGAATTTTAAGCTTAATTGTGTGTGTGCGTTCTGTGTATGTCTTAGTGTGTGGTAGGGATGTTTTTAATTTCCGAATACGGTTAGCACATTATGGCTTTGTTCATAGTTAATATTGTTAAGAGTTGGCTTTTTCTTTTTTCATTATTAAAGCTTCCATTATTTTTAATCTTTTTTTGCATGTGGATGCAGTTAATATATTTGTGTTTTCTACTAGTATGTTCCTAATGGGATCGGGTAAATCTGTGTGTGTGTTTAAATGGGTTCTAATGGAGCTGTGATCAGATAGATGTAACGTAAGACGTCTGGATAAGCATGTGGTTGTGTAACCGATGTAATTGATTGATTAGGAACACAGTTCCTTAAGGGGCATTTGAACTCATAGATAATGTTCGTTCTTTGTAATTTTGACTGGTCAGACTCACACACGTGGGTGCCACACAAGGGCAGGCTGAAAAGTACATAGACTGGCTATGAAGTAATGATGCTAGAACTGTGAAATCTTGCATGCTTTATTCTCAATACTTCTTATTAATAACTGCATTGTTTCTTATCATGTAAACTGGCACCTGACAATTTAAAGAAAACTCCAAAAGTATCCTATAGCGAGATCTCTTGAAAATGGACAAGATTTTGCATCGTGGTATTATCATGTACCTGCAGAAAAATGGTTTAGACCCCAAGGACATTCGTGCTGATATGGATGCTCCAGCTTTTATTAAGAGTACAAAAGTGGGCAGCTGAAATTAGGAGAAGGGAGTGTCTTGAATCGGATTCGAGGTCTGGATGTCTTGCAAGAGCCAGCACCGAGAAAAACATTGACCGTGTTCACCATTTTGATTTGGATGACAGACGACTGACTATAAATCGTATAGCCAACGCTATTAATATATCTCATACGGGGTTTGAGAATATTATGCACAATGACCTTAACATGACGAACATACTTTTTTCCAGAAGAAATTACCATCAATACATTTAAAAAAAATACAATACATGTACATTTTATAATCTACAAACTATATATCTAAACATATTTTTTCTTATGCACCACCAAACAGTAATCTTCTTGTGTAGCTCTTGGACCTTGCATTGGGTGAACATTTGTATATTTGTATATATATATATATATATATATATATATATATATATATATATTAGAGACATTTTTATGTTTAACGTTCTTTTTTTTTTTTTTTAAATTTTTTATAAATTTATAAATAAATTTTTTTTATAAATTTATAAATAAATTGTCGGACTTTGTCCATTTCTTAATATATATATATATATATATATATATATATATATATATATATATATATATATATATATATATATATATATATATATATATATATATATATATATGGGATATGGGATAGAGACTTGGATAGAGGAATCGGAGAGCCGAGTTCGAATTCAGTCGAATCCATTACATTCACTTACGTGCTAATACCCTTGGGAAAGGTGTGAATCCTCTTCTCCCCCCCTCAAGTTATGAGTAAATAGCGGGACAGACTGGGTTCTATAGCCTTGGATGGCAACTGGTCCAGGAGAAGAACTCTAAATTCAAAACCTGCGGAGGGTTGTGTTTGGGGCCTTGTGGCACTTAGTGCACCAGGTCTCTGTATTCGGCCCTTCAAAAAGTGTGGATGGTCCTGCACGAAACTTTCACTACTATAATCAAATCTCATGTGCCGGTGTCGGGCTGTCGGTTTCCTAGGAACTGATCTGCTTGACGCTCATACGTCGAATTCGACGGGAGAATCGAGTATATATATATATATATATAAAATTATATATATATATCAATCAAAGGGAACACAGAATTAGACTGATAGATAGATAGATAGATAGATAGATATGAAGAAATATAGAAACAGAATTAAATACATTGGGAATGAGATAGATAAAAAATTACATAGATAGAAAGAAAATAAAGAAAAAAAGAGACAGAATTAGACTGACAGATAGATAGATAGATAAGGAGGGAATGAGATAGATAGATAGATAGATAGATAGATAGATAGAAATGAAGAAATATAGAAACAGAATTAAATACATTAAGAATGAGATAGATAAAAAATTACATAGAAAGAAAGAAAGACAGAATTAGACTGATAAGATAGATAGATAGATAGATAGATAGATAAATTACTTAATTCCACACTGAGAAACTCTTTGCATTTTGCACCAATCATTCGTAGGGAAGACCAATTTCTGAAATAAATGACGATCTCCATTTCCCCGATCACTTCATTAAACCGCAGCCATGAAAAGATTCCTTTCGGAAAAAGCGTCATTTCTTGTTTTCGAAATTACTTTTTGTCGGATATTTTTTTTATACTCTTTCCTAGTTTTCTTTTTCTTTCTCTCGTCTTTTTTATAATTTTTGTATTTCCGTGCCACCATTTTGCTGATTTTCAATTCAATATCACATCACATCTACATTTTTTTTGGACGTCGCCTATATTTTCTGGGTTTTTGTTTTTTACCATCAACTATTTTAGGAACTTGTATTTATTTATTCACTGATTCATGTTTCCCGAAAACTTTCGACCGTTTATTTTTGTTTTGGAGAGTTTTTTTTTAATATTTATTAATCTTTATTGTAGCTTCCTACCTACGTTAGGCACAAGGCAATAGTGTTAGGGCGCCCAGAAGAGGGGTCGTATGTAATTTGTAACATAGGGCATTTGTAGTTTAGAAGGTTCCAGCACCCCCCCACCCCAACCGGTGAGATTCGATTTAATTTTTTATATTTTTTTTCTTTTCGCGTATTGTGTATATTGAACAATGCCTCGTATTTTTTTTTTTTTTGCCTTTTGTATATTTTCTAGAAAATTCCTTTACATTCTTTGTGTTACGCTTTTTCGTCTGAACTCTCTCTCTCTCTCGCTTTCTTTCTTTCTTTCTCTCTCTCTCTCTCTCCCTCTCTTCATCTCTCTGTGGACGAGGCCATGAAACCCGGATTCGAATCTCACCTTGGTCGATTTGTCAGGAAGCCGACTTTTTGATGTCATCGGTCCAGAAGAGACGATCGCAACGTGCGGTACCTTTGGGAAGTACCTGAAAACCATACCGCGGGTTGACCCTAGCTGAGTAGACGGAAACCTCGGTTGTGGCCGTTGGTGGTTGCGCTAGGACGAAATCACAAGTCATCGTGACCGGGGGTCTGAGCGTGCTGGCCTTGTTCAGACCGTTGATCACGTTAGATAATGCGTTCTCTCCCAGAAACTGTAACTACAGTCCACTCAGCATAAACCACCGGTGGGCTCTGTGGGTGTTGAACAAACATAAATGTGCCTGAGCAAGCGTCAGCAACAGGGATTAACTAGCCGATCTAGTGCACGAGCATCCTCGGATACAGTAGCCATCCATACACACACACACACACACCCATATATATATATATATATATATATATATATATATATATATATATATATATATATGAAAATTTCTCCGATTTAATCAGTAGAAGACAATATTTATGAATAAAAATGAATATAGAAAAACTGGTAATTGTGGACTTTATCAAAGCAAAATTGCTTTGATAAAGTCCCACATTGGACGAAACTGCGTCAGCAATTACCAGTTTTCCTATTGTCATTTTTTCATTAAATAAATAAATATATATATATATATATATATATATATATATATATATATATATATATAATATATAAAATATAGATTTCTCGAGCCTTGTATTAACTAAATTCTCGTATAAAATATCACCGATCGAGCTTAGATAATAAGTAAATAAGTAAGTAAATGGCTGCGGAGTTAGGTAATCCCTGTTGCAGGCGTCAGCTCAGGTACATACATATTTCTTCATCATCCACGGAACCAACATGCGGTTTATAACGCAGCTATACTGAGCATACCTTAGTTACAGTTTCTGGGGGAGAGAGAGTAAAAGAAAGAGAGAGAGAAAGAGAGAGAGAGAAAGAGAGAGAGAGAAAGAGAGAGAGAGAGAGAGAGAGAGAGAGAGAGAGTAGAAAGAGAGAGAGTAAAGCCTGGCGTGATCATCAGTTTTGAATATGGTTTGTATGCTGAAACCTTCGGTCACGTTGACTTGTGACTTTGAGCAAGTGCAACTACCAAAAGGCAGTTCCGTCAATCCAATTCTGTTCACAAGGTTTGGGCAACTTGTGGCATTGCTTTCAGGTGCTTCCCATTTTTGCCGCTCGATGTGATTATTTCCCCGCCAGTCAATATTATAAGGAGGCGATCTACTTGACAAATCGTGAAATTTGAACCCGGGTGCCATAGCCGTAATGTTAACATACTAATCAATTGTTTATTCGTCCGGCAGCCATGAGTCCAATTAAAAAGCAACAATTTGGGATATTAATTTTCTAAGCGGGTAGACAAGTAGACATCCGTGAATGGAATGTTTGATACAATATTGGTTTACTAACAGTTATTACCAGTGCTCATATTGTAATTTTTACTGTTATCATTGCGTATTTTTTACTAGAGCTCATATTGCAATTTTCGTTGTTATTATAGATTATCTCTGGCACTCCTTATTACTGGTTCCCATACTGTACTTATTTTTATGCTTGGTCGACTCAGGAGATTTTTGTGGCTTAGCATATGTGCTGATTCCTGAAATAATCGACATTCCAACCACCTAAAGAAGGCCGGAGCGCACAACGGCCGAAACGTGATAAATATGGCAACAAAGATAAGGATGATAGTCCGAGCAATGTAAATAGTGTACATAATACCTCATCTCAGAAATATTGAGAGATACTGAATTTCAGTAGAGTTCGTTTTTTGCTTGCTTTAGCCTTTGAAATCCCACTTTTCCTCCAGCCTATGGGCCAGCCCATTATAAATCTCCAAAATGTAAAATTGCGTATAAAATATGTACACTTTGGCATTAAATAACAGTTATTTTTCGGCATTAAGTCGCTATTATCAGCAAAACTTCCTCATAATCTTAAAATATTTTCTGGTTTTAAGTAACCGGCAAAGGTGTTGATAAGTCGTAAAAAATAACGAATTATTTAATCTACAAATAATGAAAAGAACTCTAGTAATCTAGAGGAACAAAATAAAAATTTTCAAAAAGGAAGTTATCTATTTCCCACTTCCTCACTCTCTGTCAATTTCCCACTTCCTCATAATTATCACTCTCTGTCAATTTCCTCTTTCCTCTCTGTCCAATTTCTTTTCTCCTCTCTGTCAAAATTTCCCTTTTCTCACTCTCTGTCATTTTTCAATTTCTGGTTTTAAGTAACCGGAAAAGGTGTTGATTTCGCTCTTTCTCACTCTCTGTCAATTTCCAAGTTTCCCACTTCCTCCTCTCTGTCCAAAAAATAACGAATTATTTAATCTACAAATAATGAAAAGAACTCTAGTAATTTCATCTTTCTCACTCTCTGTCTAGAGGAAAAAATTTCGCTCTTTCTCCTCTCTGTCAAATTTTCAAAACTTCCTCAGTCTATCTATTTCGCTTCTCACTCTCTGTCAATTTCCCACTTCCTCACTCTCTGTCAATTTCCCTCTTTCTCACTCTCTGTCAATTTCCCTCTTCCTCACTCTCTGTCAATTTCCTCTTTCTCACTCTCTGTCAATTTCCCTCTTTCTCACTCTCTGTCAATTTCCCTTCCTCAATTTCCACTTCCTCTCACTCTGTCAATTCCTCTTTCTCACTCTCTGTCAATTTCTCTGTCAATTTCGCTCTTTCTCACTCTCTGTCAATTTCCCACTTCCTCCCATTTCTCACCTCTTTCTCCTCATTCTCTGTCAATCTGTCAATTTCCCTCTTTCTCACTCTCTCACTTCTCTTTCCCTTCCTCCTCTCTGTCAATCAATTCCCCCTCTCACTCATTTTCTCTTTCTCACTCTCTGTCAGTTCCCTCTTTCTCTGTCAATTTCCCTTCTCACTTCTGTCAATTTCCTCTCTGTCAATTTCCTCATTCTCTGTCTTTCCCTCTCTCTCTGTCAATTTCCTCTTTCTCCTCTCTGTCAATTTCCCTTCCTCAATTTCCTCTTTCTCTGTCAATTTCGCTCTTTCTCACTCTCTGTCAATTTCCCTCTTTCTCACTCTCTGTCAATTTCCCACTTCCTCACTCTCTGTCAATTTCCCTTTCTCACTCTCTGTCAATTTCGCTCTTTCTCACTCTCTGTCTTTCCTCACTCTCTGTCAATTTCCCTCTTTCTCTCACTCTCTGTCAATTTCTCTGTCAATTCTGTCAATTTCCTTCCCCCCTCTCTCAATTTCCTCTTCTCATCAATTTCCCTTTCCTCACTCTGTCAATTTCCCACTTCCTCACTCTCTGTCAATTTCCTCTTTCTCACTCTCTGTCAATTTCCCACTTCCTCACTCTCTGTCAATTTCCCACTTCCTCACTCTCTGTCAATTTCCCACTTCCTCACTCTCTGTCAATTTCGCTCTTTCTCACTCTCTGTCAATTTCCCACTTCCTCACTCTCAATTTCTCTCTCTCTGTCAATTTCCCACTCTTTCTCTCTCCAATTTCTCCTCACTCTCTGTCAATTTCCTCACTTCTGTCAATTTCCCTTCCTCACTCTCTGTCAATTTCCCTCTTTCTCACTCTCTGTCAATTTCCCTTCCTCACTCTCTGTCAATTCCCCCTTCCTCTCTCTGTCAATTTCTTCCTCACTCTGTCAATTTCCCTTCCTCACTCTCTCCTCTCTGTCCAATTTCGCTTTTCTTCAATTTCCCTCTTTCTCTCTGTCAATTTCCTCCTCTCTGTCAATTTCCCACTTCCTCACTTCTGTCAATTTCCCTTTCTCCTCTGTCAATTTCCCTCTTTCTCACTCTCTGTCAATTTCCCTTCCTCCTCTCTGTCAATTTCCCTTCCTCACTCTGTCAATTTCTGTCTGTCAATTTCCCTTCTCTGTCAATTTCCCTTTCCTCCTCTCTGTCAATTTCCTCTTTCTCACTCTCTGTCAATTTCCCCTTTCCTCACAATTTCCCTTTCTCACTCTCTGTCAAATTCCCATTTCCCTTCAATTTCTCACTCTCTGTCAATTTCACTTCCTCTCTGTCAATTTCCCTTTTCTCACTCTGTCAATTTCCCTTCCTCAATTTCCCACTTCCTCTCTCTGTCATTTTCCCCTTTTCCTACTCTCTGTCAATTTCCTCACTTCTGTCTTTCCCACTTCCTCAATTTCCTTCTTCTCTGTCAATTTCCACTTCCTCCTCTCTGTCAATTTCCCTCTTTCTCAATCTCTGTCAATTTCCCCTTCCTCTCTCTGTCAATTTCCCTTCCTCTGTCAATTTCCCTCTTCCTCACTCTGTCAATTTCCCTCTTTCTCCTCTCTGTCAATTTCCCACTTCCTCACTTCTGTCAATTTCCTTCTTTCTCCTCTCTGTCAATTTCCCTTTCCTTCAATTTTTCTCCACTTTCCCACTTCCTCTCTCTGTCAATTTCCCTTCCTCCTCTCTGTCAATTTCCCCCATTCCTCACTCTCTGTCAATTTCCCACTTCCTCCTCTCTCTGTCAATTTCGCTCTTTCCTCATTCTCAATTCAAATTTCCCCACTTCCTCCTCTCTATCAATTTCTCTTTCTCCTCTCTGTCAATTTCCCATTCCTCAATTTCCCACTTCCTCACTCTCTGTCAATTTCCCACTTCCTCTGTCAATTTCCCTCTTTCTCACTCTCTTTTCCCACTTCCTCTGTCAATTTCCCTTCCTCTCTCTGTCAATTTCGCTCTCCTCATCTCTGTCAATTTCCCCACTTCCTCTGTCAATTTCCCTTCCTCTCTCTGTCAATTTCCCACTTCCTCCTCTTTCTCTCTCTGTCAATTTCCCTCTTTCTCACTTTCTGTCAATTTCGCTCTTTCTCACTCTCTGTCAATTTCCCACTTCCCTCTCTCTCTTTCAATTTCTCAATCCTGTCAATTTCCTCCTTTCTCTCTGTCAATTTCCCTTTCTCCTCTTTCTCCCTTCCTCCTCTCTGTCAATTTCCCACTTCCTCTCTGTCAATTCCCTTCCTCTCTCTGTCAATTTCCACTCACCTCTGTCAATTTTCTCTCTCACTCTCTGTCAATTTCCCATTCCTCCTCTCTGTCAATTTCCCTCTTCCTCACTCTCTGTCAATTTCCCTCACTCTTCAATCACTTCCTCCTCTCTGTCAATTTCCTCTTTCTCCTCTCTGTCAATTTTCCTCCCAATTTCCACTTCCTCTCAATTTCCCTCTTTCTCACTCTGTCAATTTCCCATTTTCTCCTCTCTGTCAATTTCCCTTCCTTTCTGTCAATTTCCCTCTCTCACTCTCTGTCCCACTTTCCCTCTGTCAATTTCCCACTTCCTCTCAATTTCCCTCTTTCTCTGTCAATTTCCCTTTCTCCTCAATTTCTTCTCTGTCAATTTCCCTTCCTCACTTTCTCTCCTCTCTGTCAATTCCCACTTCCTCCTCTCTGTCAATTTCCTCTTTCTCACTCTCTGTCAATTTCCTCCTCACTCTCTGTCCAATTTCGCTCTTTCTCCTCTCTGTCAATTTCCAATTTCCCACTTCCTCCTCTCTCAATTTCCCTTCCTGACTCTCTGTCTTTCGCTCTTTCTCACTCTCTGTCAATTTCCCACTTCTTCTCTATCCAATTTCCTCTTTCTCACTCTCTGTCAATTTCCCACTTCCTCCTCTCTGTCAATTTCCCATTCCTCCTCTCTGTCAATTTCCCTCTTTCTCCTCTCTGTCAATTTCCCTTTTTCTCCTCTCTGTCCAATTTCCCTCTTCCTCCTCTCTGTCAATTTCCTCTTCCTCACTCTGTCAATTTCCCTCTTTCTCACTCTCTGTCAATTTCCCTTTTCTCCTCTCTCACCTCTGTCAATTTCCCACTTCCTCCTCTCTGTCAATTTCCCTTCCTCCTCTCTGTCAATTTTCCTCTTCTCTGTCAATTCCCCCACTTCCTCACTTCCTCCTCTCCTCCAATTTCCCTCTTTCTCACTCTCTGTCAATTTCCCTTCCTCCTCTGTCAATTTCCTTCTTTTTCTCTCTGTCAATTTCCAATTTCTTTTCTCAATCTCTCTGTCAATTTCCACTCCTGTCAATTTCTTCCTCTCTCTGTCAATTTCCCTCCTTTCTCTGTCAATTTCCCTCTGTCAATTTCCCACTTCCTCACTCTCTGTCAATTTCCTCTTTCTCCTCTCTCCCCCACTTCCTCCTCTTTCTCCTCTCTTTCAATTTCCCATTTCTCTTCTCTGTCAATTTCCCTTCCTTCTCTCACGCTCTCTGTCAATTTCCCTTCCTCTCTCTCAATTTCCCTTCCCTCCTCTCTGTCAATTTCCTTTTCTCAATCTCTGTCAATTTCCATTTCCTCACTCTGTCAATTTCCCTTCCTCCTCTCTCTGTCTTTCCCACTTTTCGCTCTTTCTCACTCTCTGTCAATTTCTCTCTTCCTCACCTCTCTGTCCAATTTCGCTTTTCTCACTCTCTGTCAATTTCTCTCTTTCTCAATCTCTGTCAATTTCCCTTTTCACAATTTCCCTTCCTCCTCTCTGTCAATTTCGCTCTTTCTCACCTCTGTCAATTTCCCACTTCCTCCTCTCTGTCAATTTCCCTTCCTCACACACTCTCTGTCAATTTCCCATTTCCTCCTCTCTGTCACCCTTCCTCCTCTCTGTCACACACACTCTCTGTCACACACACCCACTTCCTCACTCTCACCCTCTTTCTCACTCTCTGTCACACCTTCTCCTCACAGATCTCTTTCTTTCTGTCAATTTCTTTCTCCTCTCTGTCTTTCCCACTTCCTCTCTCTGTCAATTTCTCTCACTCTCTGTTTTCCCCTTTCCTCTCTTTCCCATTTCTTTCTTTCCCATTTCCTTTCCTCTGTCAATTTCCCTTCCTCCTCTCTCTCCTCTGTCACCCACTTTCCTTTCAGGTCAATTTCCCTTCCTCCTCTTTTCTCTCTGTCAATTTTCCTCCTCTCTGTCAATTTCTCTTCCTCCACTCTCTGTCAATTTTTCCCCTCTTTCTCCTCTCTGTCAATTTTTCCACTTCCTCCTCTCTGTCTTTCCCTCTTTCTCTCTCTCTTTCTCTAATTTCCCTCTTTCTCTCTCTGTCAATTTCCACTTCCTCCTCTCTTTTTCTCATTCTCTGTCAATTTCCCACTTCCTCTCTGTCTGTCTTTTTTTCACTCTGTCAATTTCCCCATTTCCTTTCTCAATTTCCCACTCTCACTCTGTCAATTTCCCTTCCTCCTCTCATTTTCTCACTCTCTGTCAATTTCCCTTTCCTCTCTGTCAATTTCGCTTTTTCTCTTCTTTCCTCTTTCTCCTTCTGTCAATTTCCCTCTTTTCTGTCAATTTCCCTCTCACTGTCACCTCTCTTTTCCTCCTCTCTGTCAATTTCCCTCTTTCTCTCTGTCAATTTCCCTTCCTTTCTTTTTCTCTCTGTCAATTTCCCACTTCCTCCTTTTCTCTCTTTCTCACTCTCTCTCAATTTTTCCTCCTTCTGTCATTTTCCTTCCTCACTCTGTCAATTTCCACTTCCCTCCTCTGTCAGTTTCCTCCCCTCAATTTCCCATTTCTCCTTATCAATTTCAATCTCTTTCTTTCCCTCACTCTCTGTCAATTTCTTTTGTCTCTCTCATCTCACTCAATTTCCCATTTCCTCACTCTCTGTCAATTTCCCTCTTTTCACTCATTTTCCCTTTCTCAATCTCTGTCAATTTTTTTCCTTTCTGTCATTTTCCCTTCCTCACTCTCTGATTCCTCTTTTTCTCTGTCAATTTCCCACTTCCTCACTATTCTGTTTTTCATGGAATTTCCCACTCTCCTCCTCTCTGTTTTCCCAGTGTTTTCTCAATTTTCCACTTCCTCCTCTCTGTCAATTTCCCACTTCCTCCTCTCTGTCAATTTTTCTCCTCTCTGTCAATTTCCCTTTCTCCTCTCTGGATCCCACTTGCTCCTCTCTCTCAATTTCCCTCTTTCTCCTCCCCCACAATGTTTTTTCTCCACACGCTCTATTTATTTCAGTTTCTCTCTTTTTCTCTCTCTTTCTTCAATCTCTCAAATTTTCCAAGGTCGATATATTTCTGACTTTCTCAATCTATTTTCTCAAGATTCTCTCACTTTCAGGTTTCTTTTCAACAGATGCTGATCTGATTTTCTCTATCCTTTGAATTCTTCAATCTTCTTTTTTCTCACACACTATGTCTTTATTCCTCCCGTCATTTTTCTCTTGCCCTCTCCTTTTCATTCATTGCCATAAGTTCTCAATTTTATTTGTTTCTCCCCACCTTTTGTCGCTATCTCGTCTCTCACTGTCTTTTTCTCAAAAGATTCAGAATATTCTGTTTTTATGGAAAGTTAGTGTTTAATTTTAATTTTATGCTAAATTTGTGGATCCACTTGCAGGAAAATGGTCGATATATTTCTGACTGCAAGATTTCAAGATAACAAAACAGATGCTGATCTGATGGCCTTTGAAGAATTTAGATTTTATTAAATTTTATTTGTACTCAACGTCGTGTGTCTTCAAAAGTTCAGAACTATACCGTAAAAGGGGTACAAGAGATCTATGTGTC